AGTAGCAACAAAAATAATTTTATGGTTGGGGGTCACCACAACATGAGGAACTGTATTAAGGGGTCGCGGCATTAGGAAGGTTGAGAACCGCTGCTTCAAAGAAAGATACAAAAATACTTGCACAAAAACCTTAGCAATTTTCAAACAGGCTATGCTGCTTTGTGCCTCCACGCTTCTACGTATGCTGATCATCCCTCTGCCTGAAATTTTACTTATCCTTTAAGTGTCAGACCTCTGTGTAAGAAAGCAGGTATATACGTATATATTATTTCATAGATTCAAAGGATTAGAGAACCAGGACATGGAGGCAGGTGTATCAACACAATGGAACAGAGATAAGGAACAGAGGACTGAACTGGGAGCATCAAATAAACCTACACCCCAATTGCAGCTCTCAGAAGAAACCACCCAGCAGAAAGTATAATCCACTCACACCATTTGCACCTAGATAAAATTCACGTGTGTAAAACAAACAAACAAAAAAACCAACCCTATGTAATAAGGAAAGATAATCATCCAGAGGATTCAGGGAAAGAAATTACCGATGGAAAGTATCTACAAAATAAGCTAAAAGAAAACTTTAGGAAATAGATTTATAGTTGCAACAGAATGTAATATAATATGAATTTTACACATTGGGACAGAAAAGCATAAGGAAAAAAGAGGTGACTAAGGCAAGGAAAAATTGTAAGGATTCATCTGAAATAATAAAAAATTAACCCATAGTGGAGAAAAAAAGCCAAATGGATCAGGAAATCAGGTGAGAATGGACCCATTCTGAGAGAGCTTCCTTCTTAAAAAAAAAAAAATACAACAAAAGTAAAATAATAAAAACAGCCACACAGGTAAAACCAATATAAAATACTTGGAAGACAAATGACTATGGAGTGCAGAGAAAGGATAACTAAAATATTAATCATTATTGCTCCTTTGGGGAAAAAGACTAAAACTCTGTAAAAAGAAAAATAAAAAATAAACATGAAGGGCCGGCCAAGTGGCGCGTTGATTAAGAGCTGGCTTGGGACGCCAGCTCTGTGCAGCAGGGCCCCGGTTCGGATCCCACATGAGGGCCAGTGACACTGACCTCTACAGCTAAGATGGTGAACAACAGCTCAACCTGGAGCTGGGATGCCGTGAGTTGCTGGCGACGGAGTAGGCTGCAGCCCCTGCTGCAGTGGGCTGCCATAAGCTACCGTGTGTGGCCAGCAGCCAGCGTGAGCAGCCAGCAGCTGGTGTGAGCTGCCAAGAGCCACCGGGAGCGGCTGTCCAGAGGCCGGAGACCAATCTGCCTCACCTGGGAAGAGCACAATGATAATACCAACATGGGCCAGTGAAGCGACGTCCTCCACAACTAGACTGAAGAACCAAAGAACAGCAATTTGTCTGTTCCCCTTCCCCGATTCCCCAACACCGTTCCCCCCTCACCTAATTCCCCAATAAAATCTTTAAAAAATAAATAAATAAACTTGAAGAAAACTTTGTGTACATGTGTACTGAGTTAAAAAGAATTCATTAAGCCAATAAACACAGAAAGAGTGATGGCATTAGACTGTCACCATTTTGTAGCCCCTAATGAAATAACAGATCTGGACAGAGCTCACCACTGGCTGCTTTAGCTCTTAGGTGTATGGCAGACGAGGA